CTCTTTCCTGCCATGGCAGGGGGTCGGTCTTGATGATCTGCCCAGGTCCCTTCCAACCCTACCAACTATGAAACTATGAAATCTATCCAATTAATTTAGTTAATGTACTACAACATTTATGGCAAATTCTATAAGTTTTCCTTTTCAATAATAACAGCTTATATATCCTAGATCGTTAAAAAAAATCAAGAGAACTTGAAATTTCCCTTCTCACCATTGACTTACCAGCCCATGTATCGGCACATGAAGTTAATGCATTGCCAGACAGATGAATGTGAAACAACAGGGCCATCCTGTAGCCTTGAATTTATAAAAACATGAGGTCTCTGTTCCTGGTGGATTTCCCATGACGGCTGCACGGATTTACAGGCAGCAGTTTGAAACTAAGTGGGTCTCATAGTATTTCTCAGGTTCCTAGTGTAACAAAACCCCCAGGTTTTCTTTTTTTTAAGTTTTAAAACCCATTCCCTTCCCTTCCCCAACCATTTCTAACTTTCTGTCTCCCCTCTCTATTCCTTATAAGTGATGACAAATAATACTAGGTAAGCTAAGTTCTTGTATGCTATTATTGTAATAAGCCCCTTTTTATATTGTAAATAGTGTTCTGTTATGTTTATATTGATTTTTATTGTATTATATTGTGTTCCTATCATTTTTGCATTGATTTTTTTGTTGTTTCATATTAATGTTGTATGGTTTAGCCCTGTGTCTGTAAAGTTAACCAAAGTAATATCAAGTTTCCATTTTGTAATGTCAAGCCATCATCTTATGTCCCCTGCTCTATACAATATATTGCAACTGTGACTCATACCTACCCCTCCTATGTAAACTGGCTCTTGAATGAATGGGAATGAATGAGGGAGCTTGAGACATAATGGTAGCAGGCCTCTATTGAATGACCAGTAACGACTGGACCATCAACTCAGTGACCCAACCATTGCTTTGCATTGACTCACCCAGGTACCACAGACTTCACCCAGGAACAGAGACAAAACCCAGCATTTAAAAGAGAAAGAATCTATGGGAACCCAATATTTGGAAGACAAAGACCCTACAGAAACCAGCAACCCGACCATTGTATCCCAGCAGACTATGAAGACACCTAGATCTGCATGTATGCATCTGAGCAGGACTGGCCCTTGCCTGGCCATGTCCTTCCCATAGGAGACACAGGTAGCCCACCCCTATAAAAGGAGTGGTAGAATGTGACCTCTTTGGAAACCCCTTTCCATCTGGACCAGCACTAAGCCATGCCACCTATCCACCCAGAGGCCCTGCTGTTGACCCCCTCTGGACATCACCTTGCTGGAGAAGACCCCAACTGGCCATCGAGGATCAACTCACAGCCCAGGATAGGTAGCTATCACCCACCTTCCTTCCCCAAGCAAACTACTTAGACTCTGTCCCTACGCACCTTGACTTCAATGCTTCCATCAAGCCTTTTTCTCTCCTGCTACCATTGTGTTGGTGTGTATGTGAGTGCTTGTATATGTGTGTGTTGTCTGTTTAATAAACCTGTTATTTTGAAACCCCAAGTTGGGTTTTTGTCTTATTGACCGCCTTCTTGATTTCCCAGCTTTTTCTATCGGTTCTTTCTGCCTCATTTCCAGCCCTGATCTCCCAGCTTTCTGCCTCTCAGTTTTCTGGCTGTCTCCTCCTTGCCAACACTTATCTGCCTCCTGATCTCCCAGCATTCTGCCTCTTAGTTTCCAGCCCCCATCTCCCAGCTTTCTGCCTCTCAGTTTCCAGCCCCCATCTCCCAGCTTTCTGCCTCTCTGTTTCCTGGCTGTCTTCTCCTTGTCACCAGGCTTTTTTCCCTCACTTCCACCATGGCACCAGGTGACCCCTAGTAACTCCAGGGGCCACAGCAACCTTAAGTAACCCAAACCCCAAGTAACCCCCAATAACCCTGGGGTATATTAACCTCGAGTAACCCTAGGGGCCACTTGACCTCAAGTAACCCCAAGCCCCAGTGACCTCAAGTAACCCCAGGGCCACTTGACCTTAAGCAACTTCGAGCACCAAGTTACCCAAATGGCCCCTAGCGTTAACACACAGCCACGAAAGTGTGTGTATGTGTATGTGTGTGTGAACTCATAGTGGCATTTCTGTAGTTGGTAGATGTGTATATAATTGTGTATCATGCTCTCCTGTCTAACAGCACAATATTGGGATCCCGAGTGTTGATCTGATGTGTGTCAAGTCAACACTAGTATATGTTTTATCTCCCTTTTCAATCAGTGTAATGCCCAAATCAGTATTCTATGAGTAATTTATTGAAATGTAGTTTAACATAGGAGAAAGATAAGAGAAATTTTACTAAAATAGAGTTCACTTCACTGATAAAATACAATGGCCAAAATTAATGGCTAATGTAATTTGATATGACTGGGATAATATATAGCAGCATGTACATTTCTACCAGCAACAACTAATAATTATAAGGACACACTGATTAATATTCACAAATTATTAAGTGTTTTTCTGCACAGGATTTGTCATTCCACTTGCCATCTGAATACACTTCTACACAGTCCTCCTCTCCTCCAGAATCATTTGGTTCTCCTGTGCTCCAGTTTGTGTATCATATTGCTTCACTACTTAAGTACATAAAGGTACCTTCTGTCAGTCTGTTATCTATTCCCAGGAATGGTCTTTTGTTTTGCCTCTCTGCTTTTTGTTGTATGGCACTGTTTTCTTCAGAATTTCTTGGAGAAGCTAGGAGGCCACCAGAGCTGGAGCATGCAGCTTGTGAAACTTCAAAGTTGCCTTCAGAGCCATCAGTTCTGAATATTTTTTCACCAATAATCATGCCACTTGGGTAGAGTAGAACTAAGAGGACACAGAAGCACAGCACATCCAAATTACTTTCATCACAAAATAACAGTGGCAGCTTCTAGGCATCCTCTTAGGAATGTCAGATTTACTCTTAATTTTGCTGATTCACTCTCATGTCTGATCAGCTGAGTCACATTAGCTTCAAACCAAGAGCTGAAAAGTGTTTCAGTGTCTTGTTGAAACTAAACGGGAAAATCTTGAGAAAAGGTATGCTTATGACATCTCAGGTTCACTTGTATGCTTTATTATTGCTATTCAGTACCTGGATGGTAATTTTGGGTCTAGCTGTGAGGAAGGGATGGTATAATAAGGCACACTATCCAGGACTAGTGGTGCTCTTCAGGCTTCCTTATCCCTGGGTATGGTGATTTAATCCTGGGTATGCTACTTACAAGTCACCACCCTCTTTGTGCTTGCTTGGTTACTCTGGATAGCAATAAGATGGAAAATGGTTAAGGCTCTGCCCCTTTCTCTGCCTATTTCCATTCTTTCTCTTCTCACCAGCTGCAGGAAAGCAGCAAGCTCAAAAGTATCCTGTTGTCTGGGTGTATGCTCTGAGTCACAATCTAGTCATATATTAAAAATAAAGGTGTCTGAGGCATTACTTATCTCCATATGATCTCTCTAACAACAGTAGCAATCTACTTAGGTATCACTGTATTTGTTGGAGTTTGCAGAATTATTCCATACTTTCCATACAAATGGATGGGATATAGAAGCATCTAACAACCCATATAAGGTACCTGAGTATCTGGATCCAAAATTCACTTCTCTGCATGAGCCTGTGAAATGGAATAATGGGAATGCAGAGACCTGAGATGAACCTGCTTACTTTTTTGGGTTTTGCTGCTGAGAGCTTGCAGAACCTTCAGTTGTGCTTGCAAATCACTTAGGTGACTTTTAAGAAGATCCATTTCTGTATGAAAACATAATCATGTTATGCCTACATAAATGTACATAAAAATAAGGATTTATTAAAATTTGGAGTTCAAGAAAGACAAAATTCCAGAGAAATCACCCAACAAAACAGTAGGGGAACATCAGCAAAGACAACATTTGGATTCTAAGTTACTTGAGAAGGGCATTTAGTGCAACTTTAAAGTGATACTTACAGCCAAAGCTCTGCACTTACTGGGCATGTCTACATGTGAATTTAAGTGGGCTTAAGTGCAGCAGAGGCACTTCACCACAGTGCCTGCAGAGACAGATCTGGTGCTGAGAAGCATCAGGGAGTAGGTCCTGGCAGGCCAGCAGCCCTAGGGGGAATCTCAGGGCTGGGAAAGGGATGCAGCAGGCTGCAGCCCTTTGTAACATGCACCTGTGGCCAAGGAACAGCACCAGCTAGGGGACAGGAGAGGTCCTGTCCAGGGTGGGGGTCATATGGGGCCTGGTGGGCTCCTGTAGGCAGCCCTGGCTCCTTCAGGCGCCCTGTGCTGTGTGCCCCAAGGCATAAAATGGCTAGTGGCTTTTATAGCCTGCAGCTATGGACTGCCAGAGAACAGCCCAGCCATGGAGGAGGAGAGGAAGCCACCCAGGAGTCCTGGGGCTGGGCTCTGGCTGGCCCCCTAGTGGCTGGACGGACCCAGGACTAAAGTCCCTGATATTAATGCACATTAACATGTCTACACATGTATTAATATGCTTTGAGTAATCCTGCTTAAATTTGATACTTGCTTTATGCAGGTATCAAATTTAGGTGGGAATAGCCTAAATTTACCATTTTAGGGCACATTGAGGGTGCACATGTATAGATGCACACCCTTAATGTGTCTTAAAATCAGGCTAATGCCCACATGTAGATGCACCCACTGCGTTGAAAACTACTCATAGATTCTCAGTCATACCCATGGAAATGCTGGACTTTAACTTTGAATTAAAAAGAAGAAATTATCCATGTTAGCAGTTTTAATAATACATTAAAACTGACCAGTATTAAGTAGTAATGGTGGAACCCCAAGCTTTATTTAACACTCTGTGCTTGTAGTATTTGTCTGTCCCCTTGGGATACTTCCATTTGAAGTCCAGGTCTATCAAACTCACTCTTGCAGGTGACTGTTAAGGGCCTTATTCACTTTCAAACTTTCTGGATTGTTATATTTCCACACCTCTGAGGATTTTTTTCATATATACCAGCTATTTCTCTTTAGCCATGCCAATCAATTTCCCATAGAGGCAAGTCCTACATACCTCTTTTTCCCACAAGCAGTCAAAGCTCACCTAGCACATGTGTAAAGTGTTATTGCATTCAGAATTCAGTAAAGGCCTTTGTTTATTCTGTTGCAGAGATTCTTTATATAACCTCCTGTTTCCCTTCAGAAAATATCATCTCCCTTACCTTGGCTTCTACTAAGACCCTCTGGTCCTCTTTCACCTTCTGAACCTTTGTCACCTTTTGGTCCAGGAGGTCCAGCTTTTCCTGGGGACCCCTGTAACCCTTGCAAAACAAGGGGTGAAGTGGAAAAACAAAAAGATGAGTGAATAATTTAATTTTTCTAGTGTTGATACCATTTACAGATGATTTTACTTAATTGGAGATGAGTACAAATTATAACATTCAAGTGAAAATCCTGAACTTTGGGAAAAATTCAGATCTTGATACAGATTCCAGATGCAGACAAATTGGTCCTCTTGGACTCACTAAACCCATGCAAATAGTTCAGAAGTTTGGATTTGTGTTACTCTTACATAGTTATATATAAAAATAGGGATTCTTTTTTTTTAAATATTGAGTTTTTGGTGCTTGCTATGTAATGCAGTTGGTCTATACATGTTGGAAATATAGGGAAAGTAATAGTTTCTGTCTATATGCTGACTACTATGTAAGTTTTGAGCCCTATGGCTACAAATTGAAGAAACTGGATTCTGTGCTAAGCAACACACAAGTTCTATTTGGTTTTTGAACCATTAGATACTTTACCATATGAAATTATAAATTTATCTAGTTTATATAATTGTCATAAATTGAAATTTATTGAGAGTCTAAGGGGATAATCATCTATTCATACATAAATAATTACATATATCCAGTATTTACTAGTTTACTTAGTAGGATGGGAACATTTTGGCCACTGTGACTTGTGGCTAAGCACAGTCTGGGGAGTTACTATTGTTTTACCTTGGTTTCCCTTTTCTCCTTTAGGACCTTCTTTCCCATTTCTACCTGGTAAGCCACTTCTCCCAGGAATTCCACAGGGAATGACTGAGCATGCATTTACTCTCTCCTTACATATGCATTCACTGGAGCTGAATATCTTGGTCATTGACAGTCCCAGGAGGTGAATTTGGAAAGCAAGAGAAAGATGCATAGCTCAAGGGCTTCACCTGGGAATAACAATGAGTAAGTTAGGTACTACCCTAAAGAGCATGACATATTTAAAAAGGCCCCATCACTGGCAGCACCTCTACACTTGGCTAAATGTCAGGGAGGGATTAGGGAGCCCAAAGACTCAGGGAATTAGAGTTTTATGACAGTAAAGCAGTTCAGTTCTATATCTGGTAGAAAAAGAATGTATCAAATAATATTTATGGATTCTAATGTTCCATGTAACTTAAGGGCTATTAGCCAATAAGTAGGGCTGTGCAAAGCTTTAGTAGACAATTCTATTTGAAGGCAATTTGGCCTGATTCAGTGGCTGAATTTCCAAATCTGAATTAAATCAGGACACCCATTAAAATGTCTAAATTGAATGGAAACCTCTGAATCAATTTGGAGAGATTTGGAGACTCAGAAGACTTGCAGCAAACAGAAACTGAGAAGAGGGAGGGAGGTGGGTGT